CTTTCTCAGCTCCTTTTCAACCCCCCTGCTGTTCCCTCTCCCCACAGGCCTGAAAGGAGGTGTTCGACCCTCATCTGCTCTGGATCGCAATGTACTAAGGTGCAGCCTGGGATTGAGGACAGATTAACTCTGCTCAAAACTCTTCTGTAGCCCATCCTAGCAGGAGGCTAGAGGAAGCCTTCACACTGAACTCCTAGGGAGGAGCCGAGCTGCGAGTCCCATTTCTAAGAGAAAAACGGGGCCAGAGGGACTCAGATCCAGGAAGTATGACTCGACAAGATTTCTGACATTGGATTCTGGTTAACAGAATCTCCAGAAATGGAGTCAAAGGCAGCCAAGCCAGGTTCGCTAGGGGGTGTATGTCCCTGGTGCACCGAGAGGCCAGACCAGTGCCAGGGTGGCAGTACAGGTGACAGCAGTTTTGTCCGTGGGTCCTTGTGTAAATCGCATTTGCAACTGCTAAACGAGTTGTGTTCCACTCCCTCCCTTAATGAATATGCCTTTGTAAGGATGTGAAAAGTTAGCATGACACAGAATTCTCAGACTCTTCTGAGTCTCTCTGCAGAACATGACAGTGCAGGAGGGTCTGACCCGAGCCCTCCAGGGTCTACCCCCCACCCCAAGCCTGTGGCCCGCACACTTCTCACCCCAGCCCCACCCTGCACCAGAGGAACATACACAGGGGGCAATTGCATCATGTGCAGGTCCCTTTATACCTGTGACCTGCACTCACAGTGGCCTCAGGAAAAGAGGTCTGTCTGGGCTCCCAAAGTAGACTCCGGTTCATTTGGACAAGGAATTCCAAGTCCCAAGTAGCTGAAAGACTGTCTGCAATGAAAGGTGCAGGTTCCAGATGGGCACAGGCAGCTGGCCTCGTGGACTCTTTGCTCAGGAAAGGGACACAGTCGGGAGTGGGGGTGGGACCCAGGGCAGGGTGTGTGTGCACCTTGCCTGGTCTGAGGGTGTTGGCCTCATTCTAGGTTCTGGGACCCCCAGAGGGGTGTCCTTGTGTCCTTTCAATGAAGCTCTTGTGACTGAAACCAGTTTGATAGGTCTCTGCCACCTGCAGCTGAAAGAATCCTTATTAAAAAAGCCTTCAATGCCCAAAGTCTTGGGCAAGTGGTCTGTAGTCAGTGTTTCCATTTTTAAAGCACTTGTTCTTAGCATCACTGTCTAAAATTGACCTCCGCAGCCCTCTGGTAGACTATTCTGTAGAAAAATCAAGGGTCCGATGGCCTTTCCTCCAACCCCAGGTATTAGTCTACTCAACAGCACTTGTGTATATTCAACTTTCCCATCTTTTTGAAAACTCCTCTTGTCTTAACTCTGGGATAACAAAGGAGATGACCCTCCCCCTAGGTTTCAAACAGCCCCTTGCCGAGTGCCTTTGGCAGCCCTGTTCCAAACCGCAGATGTCCTTCCAACTCCAGTCTTCCTCCCTGGGTGGAAACTGCATCCAAAAGCCACTTACCAGAATCATTACCTGAGACACAACAACACTCTCTTCTGGAAGAACTCATACCCTCTGGGTGTCACCTCCTTGAAGATGAATCCCAGACTTCTATCTCCCTCCTTAACCTTGGTTCCAAGCCTGACTTTCATATCTTTGCTTCCTGGATATTTCCATTTTGGTTTTCAAATTCAACAATACACCTAAGACTGAAATGATCATCCCCTGTAACTGAGTCTCTCCTGTTTTTGTTGATTTTTGTCACTTTTGTGAGTGACTCATTCTCCTAGGCCACAGGTTCTGAGCCGGTAGCACTTGGACTCTATTCTCCTTTTCCTGCTGTGAAGTCTTAGCCATTCTTTCTTTGCAAGATGTTCTTTCTCCAGCCTTTGTTTTCTGTGCCCTTTCTATGTTCTTCTGCGTACAATTCCTGTTCTGATCTAATTTATCTTCATGCTTTGACCATAATAATTCTACTAAAATTATTTTTTGCGTGCCCTTTTTTCCCTGCTCAGTAATTTTCAGTAGATCTCTATGGCTTAAGGAGACACCCAGTTCCTGAAAGATGAGGCCTCTACCTCAATTTCCAGGGTTTTTGTCCACTCAGCTTCAGTTTGCTCTTCATTCTGTCAGCCATGGTTCCTGAACATGAACTCCCCATTTCTGTGTCTGCCTTCAACCCTTCTTCCCCGCTTTCCCACTTGAAGACCACGCCCTCCTCTTCTCCTGCCTGGATCCCAGTGGATGAAGTTCAAGTTCCTGTGCCCACACCAGCCCACAGTGCTCCCTGCCTTCCTCATCTGCACCCGTCTGTGGTATTTAACACATTGACTGTCCTGAGCTATGGTGCACATTTGTCCACGCCAGAGTTACCTTTTATACAGACTTTAGTGGTATGAGAACAGAATCCGTGCCTCCAACTTTGGGTTTCCCACGCCCCGCATTCCCATGCACCCAGTGCTATGTATGACAAGGTGCTTAAGAAATTTTGCTTTATTTCTTTATTCTGAAGTCTGTTTTGTCTTCAGGAGACAAATGATGTTGGCATTGTACATGATAAAGATGTTAGTGGACATCTTTATCCACTCATAAGTTTCAGACTCGTAAGTTTCTCTCTGTACCTCCCTGTTCCACTAATACATGTGTCCTCTTCCTCTGTCCATTGTCTTTGCTTTTGAGGAACAATAGATTAGTTTCATTTTTAGGAAATAGTATTACACTCTGATAAAAAGTTCTCTTGTTTATAAGTCTCTGTCACCTTTACTTTTCTCTGAATGTAACTTTAGCTTCTGACCGATCTGTTTTTGAAGTTCAAAGAGAAAAGGCATACTCAGCTGTATGTAACAAAAGACAACATGTGGTATCCTTCTTTCTTTTTATTGAAAAGAAATCATTTCTATTCTAGCGCAAACAATGTATATTTTACATCATAAAGCAAGATATAATTTACATATTACATTTCTTATGAGATCTTTATACCCTAAAATGTCATTCCCTTTTTTATTCGGTCACCTCTTCTGGTTCCATTTAACCTGCCATGTACCCCAGAAATCAGCATCTTGTTTGGGAGGGACTGGGGACACATACAGATTGTTTGTATGCTTTTTAATCTGCATATAATGATGGTGAGTGACAGGGGTTTGCCTTTGAACTCTGTGGCCCTGATGCCATCTGTCGATGCCTGGCTCAAGAGCCAGAAGGCTACTCCTCCAAATCATATAAGAAACCTCTGCTTACGGCAAGTCAGCAATCAACGAGTGACACTGAGTGCTTATAACCTGGGGCAGACTTCTTGATCAAGTGCTTAGGTAATAGAAGCCTGTGCTGTACATTCACCTACAGTGCCTCTGGGCACCCAGTGCTGGGTCCTCCACGGTATTCCCAGACATCGCTGGCCCAGACTGTGGATAGAACTGCCCAGCTTCACCTTGCATTGGGGTTATGGGTTCAGGCTTTTTGTTCACCTCTGAAATGGATGTCAGGATAGAGGCTTCAAATCACTTTGGTTCGCATGACTCTGTATCTCTTGACTCCCTCTTCTAAGACTGCCCACCTGCCGAGGAAAATTTTTTGATGTGTGATTTCTGTTCCCTGCACTCTTTACAAATTCTCTTTCGGTGTTCTCCCCAGACTCCAAAAGTTCACCAAGTTCTTGGATTGCACTGATTTTGCAAAGAACGTTTTCATCTGTTAGGATGCACTGTTTCAAGTTCCTTTGAAACTCGATTTATAGCAGATGATGGGACAAAAGAATTAGCCTGGGACCTTTGGGAAGCTCGTCATGTGTGTTGTGCAGACAGCCTACATGAACCATTTGGTAAGAAATGTTTGAGTAGTAGGTGAAAAGAACAGGGAACCAGTTGACAAGAGCAAAGTGGGCTTCCTTCTTCTTATAGAAAAAAGTACAGAATCAACATTCAAAGTACAGTTTCCGATTGGTGGCTATTTGACTGAAAAGATACTACTGTTAACTCAACGCACATAACAAATATGCACTCACAGTGCATGTTAAACCGCAAGTTTCCATGCCTGTCACTCAAAGTTGACATATTTGGCCAAAATCCATCTCAAGTTTTTTCATCACTGACAACTAAAATGACTAGAACCAAACTGGTCAGGAAGAAAATATAAGTCAAAGGTGTGTCTGCTCTGTGTATCTTAAATTATTCTTTGGTCAAATGATGTGATTTCTGCGAGGTCTATAAATATAAACCTACTTCTCGTTTCCAAATGCAAAAGCTCTAAGTCTTTACAGCAAGGCAGCATTTCCTTGCTAGAAAACAAGGCTTCCAAGTCCCGTACCTTCCGTGAGCCTTGGATACTTTTCTAGTCCCCTTCTTCCCATGGCTACAAAGTGCTGGACATGCAGAGAATACAGGGGAAAATGAAGGAGCAAATGAATAGGGCCTCACAACACCCCTGTGAGGTAGGTAAGTATTGTTAAACCCATTTTACAAAAAGGTAAACCGAGGCACCACATGATAATATGGTTTGGTCAAGTCCACCTGACAAGTTACAAAAGCCCAGCTGGAAACAAAGAGAAAGAGACAAGAGAGGTCAGTCCTGGCTCCCAGCCTTAGCCACTACACTTTACTTGAAAAAAATTAGAAAAGAAAAAGAGCCCACAATTGCCTTTTTTGAAACTTAGACAAACCTTTAGGTATTCCACTTCCACATGTGTCTTTCAGATTTCTGTTGAGTCATAACAAGGCAGCTGGCCAAACGGCTTTCCTGGCTGCCCGCCCCCCCCCATGCAATTCCCATGAGAGATCAGGATGTATCAGCATTGCACCCAAGTTCAGGTAGCAAGCTCAAGGACATTCTTACAGCCTCACATTGCTTCTCATTCATGGAAAGCCCTAACGCGAACATGAGACTCATTTCCCAACAGCCGCCCTAGCCATTGCTCAGTGGCCTTCATGAGAATTCTGCAGAGAGAAAGACAGGAAACGAGATCCCCAATCAACTTTCTCATGACTGTAGAGCTAGTGACAGCGTTAACGGTGGGAAAGTCACGTTCTGTTGTGTTTGAGAGACTGCAAACTCAAGCTCGAGAGAATATTTTATATAGATATATAATATATAAATATATACAGCGTGTATATATAGGTGTGCGCCCAAGGACCCAAAGGCACCAAGGAGATAGAGGCCGTGCCTTTCACAAGTCGGTCTTGGTTTTCCGAGAGACATTTCTCTCCCTCATTCAAATGGAAAATATTCCTTCTAGCAAATAGCCCATGACAGCAAATCTTTGAAAAGCAACAAATATCTTTAACTGAGGAAGGCTGATTTTTAGGATGGGGGGTCATGGTGATATTATCAATAGTTTAGAGCTTAAATCTAGAGATTCGGTCCAGAGCTTATTGCTTAGAACCAGCCGGACAGGCCAGCGACCAGCTGTTGCACAGGATTGCTTTTCTTTGCCCACAGCAGCTGATGGAGAAGCCTTCCCATGGCCAGCAGAGGTGGAGGCAGGGAGGAAGGGAATCGCGTGTGGCACAGGTTCTTTAGAAAGGCTTTGGCTTTTCAGAAGTTCCTAGAGCTTCTCTGTACAGGAAAGTGGGAAGGAAGGTGGGCTAAGGCACCGAGGTTTGAACACATCAATGAGGAGACTATAGGCAGTTATTCAGAGTATATATCTATATAGATGGTTTCTTTGGCTGCTGTAGACTTTTTAAAAACCCATACAATCATGGGGGTGGGCGGGCTGAACCCCACTGAAGAAGCTCGGAGTATATGAAGCAAAGCACAGGGAGGAGGACAGACAAAACGAACGCACCCAGGGACGAGAGGTGCTGGAATCCCAGGGGAGGAGGAGTGACTGTTAACTAATTTGCATTTGTCTCCTCTCCTGCTCTTCTCTGCCATGGTCCCAATAGTTTAGTTCTGTTTTTTGGTGTGTTTGTTTTTATTATTTTTTTCCAGCAGATGAAGAAATGACAGAACAGGACAGGTGTCTTATGGTTTTTTGGATCTCTTCTTAGGCCTGTTTAATTGTTTTTTTCCTCAGTTGACTGTTGGCACCTGGTTCCTCTGTAAACTATATTCCTTGGCCTTCAGTCTCAGGTTGGCAATGCTGTTGGCCATGTTGATGCCCTGTGCAGGGCTACTGTTGGCACATGTGGCAGAGTAAGTAGCCATGGCACTGTAGGGACAAAGGAGAGAGCAGGGAGAACAACAGGCATTAGTGTCACGAAGCGGCAAGTCTGTGCCCCAGGTGGGCGCAACTCTTGGGACGGGGGCCAGTGGGGCAGGTGGGCTGGACTAGATGACCTCTGAGTCCCTTGCAGCCCCGTGTTTTCATTAGTCTGGGGCCCTTGGGAAAAAGTGGCTGTGTTTTGAAGGGTTGGGGGGGCGGGGAAAGCAGTGGGGAGTGGACCAAGGGATGGGCTGGGGAAGGGCATTCACTGTGTTGGATACAGTGAGTCACGATATATTTCTAGGGTGAGAGGAGAAAGCGGCTTATGTTGAATGGCAGGTGTGTGATCAGCTGACCAATTAAAACTGTTTAATCCTTCTTCCTGCCTCCATCCCTGGCCTGCAGGAGCAATAAAGGAGAAAAAGCAGTGTTTGAAAAGGGGCACTTTGCCTTCCTCACTCAGGGAAGCTTTCATTCTAACACATTTTAGATGATCAATAAATACCATCTGAAATACCGTGCTTAGAGAATCAGTTAAACGGCCCAAGGTAACTTCTCTGCCACTCTGGATTCCCCGGTTGATAGTCCCAAGCATCGCCAAGTCCAGAGGTTCCTGTCCCAGTTGGCCTTGATTTGCTAACTTCTCAAGAGGACTGAGTAGCTCTGGGCACTGCCTTTTGGGTCAGGAACTTTGGAACATCTCAGCCTCCTAGATAGACTAGCAAAGGCTTCAGTGTCAGATTCCCGGCCTGCTCCTCACTGTCCATGTTGCTGAGGAAAACCTGGAGTTTTGCGCCCCACTGTCAGAGATGGTAATTAAGACCTAGGAATACCACTGGGAAGAAGTTTGTAACTGGTGGGTTTCTGTTACTTGCATCCATAAGTTTCTATTAAAGGAAAAAGTAGTGGCTTCTTAGACTTGGATGCAAATTATTCATTACTTTATATAAACAATAGGGAACTCATTTTAATTAAATGAAAATGTTTCTACTTGTTTCTAAGATTAGCAAAAATCCCTTTCAACTGAGATAGACTTACAAATGGAATGACATGCAGCCTTCCATTGCCTGTATTCCAGTGCAGTTTTTCAGCCACACAGGAGTTTGTGGTTCGGGGGATCAGGCGACAGAACAGGAAGGGAGAAAGCTGAAGCTACTGTACATATAGAGAGACTCTATCATTAATGCTTATTTGGGGACACCGCACCGTCAAGACTTGTGGTCAAGACCCACAGTAGCTTATTTCAGCTCAGTTACTAGCAATTAACCCAGGAACATTAGCTTGAAGAAATATAATTAGTCCCAGATCACTAGGTCTTTCAGGGAATACACATTCTTAATTAAAAATCCTTATAGCACCGGTGTGTGTGTGTGTGTGTGTGTGTGTGTGTGTTTGTGTGTGTGTGTTATGGCAGAAGGAAGAAGATTCAGAAGAGTTATGAAAGGCCTTATGTGTCATTTTTGCCTGCTTCAGTCTTGCCCATCTCTGGATCGGTGATCTTAACCATGTACACAAAGTCAGGTTCTCCGATAGCTCCCTGTACTTTTCCTTTCAGCACTTATGTCAGTTCCTCAACGGTAAGCGCCACAGATCTGACGTCATAGCTGCCCTGTTCACCGCTGTCTCCCCAGGTAGAGTTAACTTCCTGTCCACCACACATTTGGCATTTAATAACATATTTAATGAGTAGATAAATTACTAAGAAATGCCTACATACAGTGTGATTAAACTGATTCCAGCTCAATGTCATTTTTCTCTGTCATCCTGCTGTGAGTAATGATTTCTAAAAATATTTCACCAATATGCTTTTTTCCTTTGGAGCAATTCCTTCCTGTTAATTTCTCTGTCTTAATAGAATGCACAGAATCAGAAAGAACATGACAAAAACAGGGACTGGTGATTGCATGGCCTTAAATCCATCAGCAGTAGCTTTTAACATAAAAAAATTGAACATATATGAGTGCAGGTTAGACTTATAGAATAGAATATCACCTCTACCATTGCCTACCAAAGACAGAGGCAGAAAAAGAGACCCCAGTTAGAATAGGTTTCGATTAGCAGTAAGCTAAGTGATCAGAACAACCCATTAAAATGGAATAGGTTTGTTTTTTCTTTACAATATACCAACCAATTCCATTTATTTTCCAAACTCACATACACTAATAATCATTTAATTTCTATATGAATTGCATGCCTCCATTCCAGAACCTGCCAGAAATATATGTAAATTCATAAGTCTTCTACTCAAGGAAGTCCTGGGATACATTAAAGTCTAAGTTTTTCAAGAAATCAAAGATCTATGTTGGTTAGAAAAGAGATCATTGGATTTGGGAAGTGTACCTACGTCACAGATCACAAATCAGCCAAGTCAGCCTCTCTCAACCAGGCCTCCGTGAGAGAGGGAAGCCCTGAAGTGCACAGAGATGTTGAAACACACAGGAGAGAGGCTGGAATGACGAGTTATCTTAGTTGTTAAGTACCAAGAAGGAAATTGGGTGGTGCCCTAAAACAGAAGACTAAAGCTTCTTGGGAAAGCACTGATAAAACTGAAATCACTGTAGCTGTGGTTTCAATTTTATCTGTGACAGAACGATTTTTGCAGTAGTTTCTGCATAGTTTCTGAATATCATATGACATTCTGGTCTCAAGGCTCAACGTGGTAACAGGTGTCTTGGAAACACTGAAATTCCCTCACTAATGCAGGCCAGATATTCACAACCCAAATGAGACGAATGCCGACCCCCTCCCATCTGAGAACCAGGGGAGCGGATGTTAGGGTTCTGTCTTGCACAGGAGATTGGATTTTTGCTGAGACACTCTCCCTTACGTGGCAGCCTGTTAGCAGAGTTGGGAACAGCATCCTGTCTGCGTGTACTGTGGGCTGTTTACAGGGTACCGCTGACTTAGTGAGGCCTCAAACCAGTGGGCGAAAAAGGGTTGATGTTCATGAGTGAGTTGTGTAGTTCGCTAGGAGCTTGGCAAGTGACACCATTTTCCTTCGACAAATGTTCAGGAAAGCTAGAAACTTTCAAAGATTGACCTAAATCATACCAGCATTGCATAGCCATAAGAAATAAACTAAGAGTCTTAATTCACCACCTCTTATCAAATGTTTTGAGTATCTAACTGTACAAGTAGAGATTGTGGTGAGATTTTGTGCACATACTAAAAAATCATGAGTTGGTTTCCCCTGAGTTCTTGGACATGGTTTTTGTTTCTTAGCTTGAACTAAAAATGCCAGGTAGGCAAGCAGGGGGCGGTCCTTTGATGTGCTAGTGACAAGCAGGGCTTGTTACAGCTCAGTGCAGACAGGGTTAGTGAGCAGGTCCTCCGGTTGCAGTTTAGTCATGCTTCAAACTCGGCGTTAGAAGTGAGATGGAAGGGACCCGCTCACAAGAGGACAACAGGTGCCACAGAGCTGGAGCGGCTGCCTGTCAGACTGCTCACGACCACCTGTTTTCCGTGCCGTCAGAACTTCTGATGCTCTGGTAGGCAGAGAAGCGGGTCCCTGCAGTGTTTTCTCACAGGGCAGAAAGCACAGAGAGCAACAGGCTGCTTTCAACTGAATTTCTAGGACCATTCAAACCTGGTCACTAGTAAAGGGGCCACTCCTTCCTATATAGGACCAAGCTTCCTGGGACAACAAGATGAAACAGAAACTCAGTGATTTGCCTTGATTGGGTGCACGACCACACCAAGGGCCTGCCGCCCAACATGCAGAGACCCAATGCCCTGGTCTTAGCTCTGAGTCAGAAGCACGTACTCCTTTAACAGGATATTCCAACATTTCCATTTAGTTGTTAGGAATGTCAAGTTTTTTTATGTCCACAACCAAGAAACTATGCTGCCTAATCAAGTGCACCAACAATTTAAGAGATGAAAAAGAAATGCTCATATCCTATCTGTTGGCTGAGCGGGTCTACACGGAGTCTTGCACAGAGCAGACCCGTGGAAACTGGGACATTCCCCATCCCCTTACTTGGAGATGCCGGACAGATGGAGCTCAGCCACACACAGCAGCGGGCTAGCCACCAGCAGGGGCAGGGTTCTGCTTTCACTGGGGACAAATCATTTTTGATTATTTCAATCCACCCTGAAAAGTTGTCATGAGGAAGAATGTGTTACAACGGCTGCTACACACAAAGGAATTACTATACATGATACAGTTTCAAAGCCGGGACTCTGCCTCTCTGCTTCCTGATCACCCATAGTGCGAGGCCCACAGGTCACAAAACAATTGAGGGCAATGTGGAGCACAGGACCACCTGACTCGGCTTTCAACTCTAATAGTGTTGTTCTCTTTGGCCCTTTTGGACAAACGATGACAAGCTGTTGAGAGTTCCACCTCAGAGACAGATCTGTTAGCCCGAGACATCTGTGTACTTTCTGAGCTCCTCGTGTTGCCCAGCTCAGGATGTTCTCAAAGGCTGTAGAGCTGGAGGCTGTCACGACTCAGTCTGTGACATGTGGGGGCAGGAGACCATCTCTCAGTTCTGTCCATTTGTCAGTGCAGAACAACAGAGGCATACTTGCTTCATCTAAGAAAATTCAGTATGAGTTTTCCTAGGGAAATGTACTCTTAGAGAGGGACCCCATAAATCCTTTTGGAAGTGACCTTTTAGGATTTAAATAATCACTTTTAAAATTCAGAACTTTAAAATTAAAAAATCAACTTTTAAAATGTATATTCAGCTCTTAAAGTAGACACACTCAGACCCTGTATCATTGGTGGTCCTTCTTTGCACTGGGTGCTCAGGGATCCTTTTGCCATTTTTAAATGTTCTTTCTCCTAGGGCGTTCTGTCTGAAGCCTTGCGTCCATCCCTTGTCTCAGTGATTTTCCTACATCCTTTCTGAAGGGCACATTGCCCACCTATCCATTCCAAACATCCTGGGGAGACAGTTAATAGGAAAACTTGAGTGGCTCAATCTCAGATTATGTAAGAAATAGATGATCCAACTGGCCCGAGGACAAGAACATGGTTCTTCTGACCTCTGCCCCTACGGTCATGTAAAGCCTCACTATTCCAAGTACGTCCCAAGTGTCCACAGTGAGGCGTCCCATGAGTGCAAGTCAGAGCCCCAGAAGCGGGGCTGCATTTTAACACGGTCCCTGGCAATCCATACATGTGGTCATTTTTGAGGAGCCCTGCTCTAGGCTTGCAGAATTCCCCTGGCTCTGGCCACGTTTTCTTGCAGCTACAGTTGGCTTCCAAAGGTCTTCCCCACTTAAGGACCTCCCTGCTTTCATTGCTAGGACTGCGAGTCCCACTTTCTCAAACACTTATTTCCCACTTAAACCCTGCCCCCAGCAGCCACCCCTCCCCCCTCTGACAAGTTACCTTTTCAGTGTCTTCCGTTAGAATCCGTTATGAAGTCCCTCGTGTAAACAACATCTTGGGAGGGACGAGGATCTATTTTTGAAAGTGTGAAAGGGAGAAATGAGCCAAATGCGTTCAGCAGATGTCGGGGACCACGACCAAAGGAGGGGAGGAGGAGGAGGGAAGCCGTGGACAAGGAAAGCTAGCCTCGCTCTCACTGGTCATTAGTTCTCCTGGAAGCCCAGCCCACCCTCTGGACAGGGTCCTGTAGACCCAGACTGCCCAGCCAGGTCATTCTCCGCCTCGTATAGGACAGGGTGTCTCTGGGGAAAGGTGCTAGACAGCTGCCTCTATATAACAAAGGTCCAAGGTCCTGGACGTGGTCCCTCGGGGCCACCCAGAGGCCAGTCCCCACAAGATAGTGAGCATTCATAACACAGGCACTGGCGTGATTTGCACCTAAGGAAAACAGTTCTGAGCTCAACAGTGGGTATGTGTGCCTGAAACAAGCTTTCTCTGCCTGGCTGCAGGTAGAGAAAGAAGACCCCTGCTGGGACAGAAGTGCAGGTGTGAGGTCCTCCTTGGCTCGCTCTGGTGACTCAGTTGCCTGCCTGACATCATCACCTCTCACAAGCTCAAGGGAATGAACAAGGCCATGATATGCTAAAATAGTGCGAACCCTGTGTCCCAGTTTTCCAGGGACAATCCCAGTTCAGTGCCTGTTGTCCTAGTGTTATTACTAATAGCACTCCCCTTTCCCTCTCGAAAGCATTGCGGTTTGGACGATAAATTACACAGCCACCACTCTAGACCCAGAAAAATATGCGTTGGCTATTTCCCATCTCATAAATCCTGACCGTGTGCACACGAGTGCTTTGAGCCTTGGTTTTCTCCTCTCTTCTCCAGAGGAGAGCCGTGGAAGCTGGAAAACTGTCCTGCTTAACAAAGCCATCTGCTTGCTGTCCCTGGGTGGTACAGCCAAGCCCCACGTGTCATCCCAAGGGGATGGACGTCCACACACTTCAGAAGGTGGACCTCAGCTACAGGCATGTCTCACTAATCAGAGACAGACCCTGACTCAGAAGGGCATGTTTCCATAGTTCCCCAGTCTTCTCCTTTTCACTGTTTTCAACATTACGTCAGGTTTCATTGAAATGAAAATATGGCCAGGTGTCCTCGTATGTGGGACAGAAACAGGGATCCTGAGCACTGGGTCTAATTTGCTCGCTGAAGGCTGACACTTGAGCAGCTGTTCAGTCTCTTCTTTGGAACCATAGCAAGGACAGAGCTAGCACACAGGAGCCTTCCAAGGGGTGACCAAGAGAGGTCCCTTTTAATGCATGTCACAGCCGAGGTGACTAACTTGACGTAACAGTACTGACAGAAGTGGTAAGTCAGTTTTCCATGACACAAAAGCTCTATCATTTCCTTTTGCTTTTCATCACTTGTTTTTCTTGCATAGTTCCTTAACAAGGCTTATATTTCCTATCGAGCTTCAAAATGCAAAATCATAAAGTATTTTGCGTCTAAACATAGCAGAAAAAATCTCCAAGGAACAAAATAGCTTTTTGCCACTTTTAGAAATTAATCAAAATAGAAACACTTCAGTCAACATTGGGTCAAAAACATTATTATTGATTAAATTATTGTTTCAAACCATCATTTTTCTACTAATATCTGGAGATTAATTTACTCTTCATACAGAATATGAACAATCAGATTCTATGAACTTTTTAATGAATTATTTTTTTTACAAACTCTGTATCTAAAAGAGAAATGATATAAAAGCATACCATGAAATGAGCAAAAAGTACTAGGTTATATCATTTTAAATGAAAAGAGCAGAATACAAAATAATATGTACACTAAGTCTACACTATATAAAATATTGAACTCTAATTGCAAAAGTAAGCAAACTAGTTATGTCAAGATGGTGGAGTTATGGGTATTTTTAAATGTATCTAATGTTTCTACATAATCTTTCAAATTAAAATTGAACATTTCCCAAAAAGGCACAGATGAGTTGCATGTTAATAATTTCAGTGAGACGCCCATATACACAACACACATGGTACTGGCCCCGGGGCTGGAACTTCTGCTGAGGTCCAGGCACCCAGCCGACGTAAATTCAGGCCGGCTTTCCACCCCGCTCACCCAGCAGACTGCCCTCAGCCTCACACTGGGGGGGGGGGGGGAACCACTGGCCAACCACCTGGATTGTTGAGAGCTGGTGTGAAAGGCTCCTGTGTAGGACCCAGGCAGAAAAGGGAGCAAGAATTCCTGGTTGTGACCAAATTCAAACCAGAGACCTTGAAACATCAAGCTTGGGACCGCATCCATTTCCCAAGCCACTTAGGGAGTCTACGTGTGAGCTATGGATGTTTATCGGAGAGACAGAGCCGTCTTTCCATACTTGCAATACTAGAGTGGGGATTTCATGATGGTCTTCAAGACGTGTGTCTAGTAACTCCTGTGGGAGAGGAGTCTGAAATTTTAAATGGGACATAAAGACATGACTAATCGTTTGAAATTGGCAAGGCATACCATGTCTGAGAGCAAGGGTAGTTTCCAGTTTCCTGTGCGGGGGATCTCTAAGCACTAAGACCAAAGTAATTCAGGCTAATTTCACAAGGCTGGTATTTAGAAGAGGTTTCCAAATGCATTTATGGTGTCCCTTTCAAGGAACTGATTTGGGACAGAAAGAACATTTAGGTGAGGCCCTTTGCTCTGATTAGAGCAATTAACTTTTGAAAAATATTTGCATTTCACAAGTGTAGCATTTTACACTAGGAGTTCCACATCACCTAGGGGATAATCTCCTATAATTAATTAAAACATCTCCTTAAGCCACTAGTTAGCTTTCACAATAAAAAGGTAACTAAATCATAATAAATGAATTTGTAAATAATTCTTTCTCTGCTGCCATCAGCCAGAGATAACCCTGATCTGGTTTCTGAGAGCATCCAGGTTCAGGTTCAAAGCAAGGCGCCTGTATTGATGACAATGTGCTAGGCACCTAGGAAGGTGTTTCACCTTCCCTCTGGCATCAACCTGTAGCTCTGAACAGCGTAGTAAATGGAGCTTAAAGCCTCTCTGAGACATTGAAATAGTACTCTGTTACTTGCTTCTTTAAAAATATTCACCTTTTTAATATAAAAGTTTAGTGTAAATTATACATTGCTTTTATACTTTTAAAAACCCACACAAACTGACCCCCAAAGAACCTCAGATAAGTAGATAAGAATTAGCAATAGAATAGGAAGGTATTTTGGATCATAAGACACCCGACCTACTAACAAAGAACTGTGGCTATCAAAATGGTCTTTGATTTTCTTTCCTTCTCTCTCTGTCCCTCCCCCACCTTCTTCCTCCTTCCTTCCTTCCTTCCTTCCTTCCTTCCTTCCTTCCTTCCTTCCTTCCTTCCTTCCTTCCTTCCTTCCTTCCTTCCATCTTAATTCAAAATCAGTATTACTGTGAAGTTTGCCCTTGGACCTATACTTAGAGCCCTACAAATGCAGTTCCTACTTGAGCGTAGCAAAATTACCTATCTTAAATTTGGAAATGGAATAAAGTTCTGTTCCAAAATGGTTGCAAGAGGGACTCTGAGCATAGCTTTAGTGACTTTTCTTTTAGATCCTTCCCCATCTTTGAAACCTTTGCAAGAGTTCCTGAGTCCAAGAGGAGATTGCAGGTGGCCTGCCCCCTCTCTTCTGCCCCAGACCCCGCTCCTGGGGGCAACTAGTAATCTCCTGTGGAAATCTGGGGATGTCAGCAAGTTGAATGTCTCTGAAGAGGTTAACCCAGTAAGAAATGGCAGCCAGCTGCCCGAGCAGCCTCGACTGTGCCCGAGCGCTGAGAAGCGTGTGGCAGTGGAGCAAGGGGGGGTGGGCCAGTCATTCACCTGTACGGAGAGGCCGTCCCCCAGGAGAAGTAATCGGTGGGCCGCGGAGCAGGGCGGGGCACGATGGGCTGCTCCACGGCAGCCACGTCTCCTGAGTAGGATTTGAGCAGGGAAGCGTTTTTATTGGCCAGCATGGCTCTCTCGTTCCTGCGGAACTTGGCTCTTCGGTTCTGAAACCACACCTGCAAGGTGGGTGGGAGGAGAGAAGGGCACAGGAGGGAGAAAGAAGAAGAGCGGGTTACACCAGTGAGGTCCTGGTTGACATCATTAGGCGATGCCCTCCTGAGGAATACACTGAGTCGGCCCAGCACTCCCCCGAGAACAGAAACATGCCAGAGCTTTGCCTGGGTGGGCTGTGTCAGAGCTCTGAAGGGTGAAGACTCAGTACAACAGGACCCCGGGGTGCTCTGGTTCTCAGGATGCCAGGGGTGAGGTCCATGACTAACCCACCAACTAGTAAAACGGGTTATGATCCCTGTTGTAATTATAATAAAGAGAGAGAAGAAAAATCCCATCACATGACTGCCACAGAGAGGATGACATCTTTCAAGTTCCTTCAATGCAAAAACTTCATAATACTAATGGGCCATTTAAAGAAAATTCCTTGTCGGCCCCAAAATGGCCCCTGTGACCAGGCTTTAAGAAGGAAGTGTTCGGAGAGTGAAGAAGTGGCAGAGAAGCGAAGCAGCCACTGAAGAGCGTGCACTCAGTCCCCTGGGATGGGTGGGGGCTAACACAGTACCCAGGCTCCCTCCGAGGGGCACGTGCTGCCACCAAGGGGCAAGAGAACTAAGGATTTGCTCCTGTCGTCATGGCTTCTTAACGAGCCAGCATTTCTGACACACTGGACACAGACGGGCAGCACCCGACCTTCTAGAGAGAAATTTGTGAAACAGAAATGAAGATTCCAAAGGTTAGAAGTTCAATGGACTACATTCAATTGTAGGGCTGGAGAGAAATGGCCAGTGCTGACAGCATCGTGATCAGCCTGTTATTTACTAAGTGCTGCCAGGGCGAGGATCTTACATAAGCACATTGCATCCATCACCTCTAGTTATCAGGACAATTCCATGTATTAGGCTTTCTTGTTTCTGTTTCTCAGTTGAGCAGACAGGTTCAATGAGATTAAGCAGTCTGTTGAAGTTCACAGAGATAAGAAATGGCTGAGTTTTGGGGCTCAAGGACATCTGACTGCTGATCCGACAACTCTGCGGATGACCATGGAATTTTATTCATTCATCCATTCATTCAAGAGTCCCTCATTCATTCAAGAGTCCCCGGCTGTGTTGCAGACTGCATTAAATGCTAGGGACAGAGAGATGAGACTTAGGCTCTGCTTGCTCATAGGCAGCTCACAGTCTATTAGAAGACAGACATGTAAATCTGAAATATGCAAAACAAGCATTTTAGGCGCAATTATAGAACTGCATGACAAGGTATGGCAGAGAGAAATCCTATGTCACAGAGTGGGATGTTCGTACAACTCTAGCAAGTAGCATTCACAGAAAGTACCCGGAGACTGGTGCCCCAAGGAGGTACATAAGGACAATCTGGACACATCTCTCCTGGCTCTGCAGACTCCCAGCCCTTTTGTGTGAATGTGCTCTTCACATCGCTAATAGAGTTATCATTTTAAATGCAAATATAACCCTGTAAGAGCCCTGCTAGATCTCATCCACTGGCTCCCCATCACTCACAGAATCAAATCAAAGTGGTTTTCATAGAATGAAGACCGTTCAGGAATGAGCTCTCCATCCACCAGTCCAGCTGCATCCTGTACAATGTGGACCCCGTGCACCTGGCTCTCCATCTTTCCAGCTCCTACCCGGACTCAGGCCTATCAACATGGTTAGTTTCCCACCTGTGTGTGTTCATACCCAGTGCTCCTTCTGCCTGTGACATTCGTCCCTTTTGTCCAGGTGCCAAACGACATCTTTCAAGTCTCAGCTGTAACATTGCCTACTTTATGAACTGTCATGGAAAGAATAGGACTTAAAGGTCTAGCAGAGTTGGATAAAAATATTGGCTACAAGACTTGAATGTTTTGTTTTGTTTTATTTTATTTTAAATTGTTGTTCAAGTACAGTTTTCTGCCTTTTACTCCCATTCCAGCCCACCCACTCCAGCCCTCCCCACCTCCCTCCCATTTCCACCCTCCCTTATTTTTGTTCAGGTGTCCTTTATACTTGTTCCTGTAAACCCTCCCCCTTTTCCCCTGCAATTCCCTCCTCTCTCCTCTCTGGTCACTGTCAGCCTGTTCTCAATTTCAGTGTTTTTAGTTGTATTTTGCTTGTTCATTTGTTTGTTTTATTGATTAGGTTCCTGTTAAAGGTGAGATCATATGGTATTTGTCTTTCACCGCCTGGCTTATTTCACTCAGCATAATGCTCCCCAGTTCCATCCATGCTGTCACAAGGGGTAGGAGCTCCTTCTTTCTTTCTGCTGCATAGAATTCCATTTGGCTACAAGACTTGAAAGATGTGTCCTTGGACATTTATTTAATCTCTCTGATCCCTTGTTTCCCAGTCAAATGAAGATACTAGTACCCAGTCTCAGGGTTGCTGTGACAGTCGGCACCGTTTCAGTGCTGACTAAATGTGGACTCTTTTTTCCCAGGTGGATTTGAGCATTCCTTCCTCTGCTCTGTCACGGATTCTTTTGTTTCACTATTTATTTAATCACTAACTCTTGAACGTTCCCTTGGCGTAGGAATGATCTTACTATATCACAACAGTATGATATGCACATCTGTCTTGTCTGCCCCCAGTCCGTGACATCCCTCGGGGAGGGCAGCGTCTTAGTCCTCCCCGGAAACCCAGAGACAGTTCCAATAGCATAATAGGTGCTCGATAAATGTTGGAGGGGGGAAAAGTAGAGGGACCCAGATGAATTGTGTAGAGATGATAAGATACGGCTTCCAGCCAAGAGAACTTCACAGTCCAGTGGGGGAAGCTGGCCCACATACAACTCCACGTAATGCTTGTCCGATCGTGATGAACGCTGTGCACACAGAGAAGACCAGACTAGGAAGGGTGTGCTTCAGACAGGAAGGGGTGAGACTTCACTGAGGAGGAATTAAGTCGAGGAGGGAGCATTCTGGCCTCTTCACACAGGAGACGCTCACAGCTCCAAAACGCATGGGGACATGGGAGGGTGAGGAAGGAGGAAGATAGAATAGTTTCAGCAGAGAAGAAAGACATTGAATGATGATTACGAGGGGGCCCCAAAGTAGCTCCCAACCCAGCTTTGCTCGTTCACATTTTCTGTTCCATTTCTAACATTTCCTTGGCCAGGTTTCTCCATGTACAGTTCAGGTCACCCCTGTACAAGTGGTACTTTCAGGTACTGTGGGTGAAAGTTATTCATTGCTAAAAAATGTTATTCAGGTACTATTGGGCTGAAGTTATTCATTACACACTGCAGGCTGAGCCGGGCGGTAACAGGTGTCGGGGATTGGAGGAGAGAAGGGATTTAAGAATAGAAACCGAGTGTGGGGAGCTGCGGTAAGGGCATGGGGAGGAGGAGGCAGAAAGGCTCAGCTCAGAGTTCTGCTTCGGGTAGGAGAGTGGAAACAAACACAGGGTTTTGTCCCCATGATCACTCCCACCTGAGTGAGGGGTCCCTGAGCAGTAATGGGCACGCCTCCCCTAACCTGTCGTGGGGGCCACCGCAGCGCCCAGGCAGCTTTCCCCTCCTATCGCTGACATTGTTGGTCTCCGGGAGAGCACTTCTAGTTGAGGTCCCTGTTTGCCATGTGAGGGGACAACTCTGACATGCTTCCTCTTCAGTCTGTAGGGCCTCCAGGGCCCTCTCCCTGAACTTGCCCAGTGTCTCTCTCTCGGCACCCCACGGTCTTGGCGCAGACAGAGCTCAAGGCCCGCAGGGTTGGTCAAGGCCCCGGTGGGCCAGAGGGATGTTATTTTCGGAGAGCAGTCCTCCCGGCCAAACTGAACACAGATGTACACACAGTAATTTCTTCAGAAGGGAAGGCAGCCCGGGCCCACCGCCCCGATCAAAACTGCAGCCAGCCACTGGCAGGGCAGACAATGACGAGACAGTGGCAATCTCAGAGGGAGCAGGGTGCTACCTGGAAACATTCCGAGTCTGCCGTAGTGCTAACAGCAGGAACTCTAGGTCTGTGCGTCTGTGTTCAGACCCTGGTTCAGCTTCTTCCTAGCTGTGTGACGTTGGGCACAACACTTGCACTGCTCTGTGCCTCAGTTTCCTCCTCTGTCAGATGAAGAATACTAGCTGCCTCATGGAACTAGCGTGAGGATTGCACAGATCTGCTTATGTAAAGAACTGAGAACAGGACTTGGCGTGTAAGGGCTCAAGTAGCGTGAGTTCCATGATGGAGATTAGTGCTCATCACAGGCTGTGTTATTGCTTGTCTCAGATATGTCATGGCATTAATGTTAGCATTGTTCTCTCTTTCCCCATATGACATGCCCTCACCCTTCTTCACTCCACAGAGACCCCAAATCCTCCACCTGAATGTGCCCTTCATGCAGTTCCTAAGTGCACGCTCTTCATGTGTTCATCTCCCATCCCCTCAGCGCCCACAACCATGTGTTCCCATAACAGGTTTCTGGAAGGTTTGCGCACTCTGAGATTTGGGGAAGAAAACTGAGGTGGGGTCAGAGAGGTCATATCCTCGTCCACTGTAAAGCTCATATTGAAATCTGGGGAGTGCAGAGTCAAGTGCCAAACTGGACGGTGTTTATGTTGTGAATCTAAAAGGCTGGGACACGGGAAGGAGGAGGGAGATCTGTAGTGAGGCGTGGTCCCCCCCCTTAACGGCATTCTGTTTCAATTTTTAAAATGCTTTGCTGCCTAAAGAAACACAGAGATCCAAAGAAGGCATACAGGTGGCCAATAGACATAGGAATAGATACTTAACGTCACTAATATCAGAGAAATACAAATTAAAACCACATTGAAGTATCCTCTCACACTGGTCAGAATGGCCATCATCAACAGATCAGCAAACAATAAGTGCTGGTGAGAAAGTGGAGGCAGGGGAACACTTTTGCACTGTTCATGGGGATGCAGACTGGTGCAGCCACTGTGGAAAGCAGTATGGAGATCCCTCCGAGAATTGAAAATGGGATTGCTTGATGACCCAGGGTTCCACTTCTGGAAATTTATCCAAAGAAATCCAAAACACTAATTCAAAAGGATATGTGCACCCCTGTGTTCATCACAGCGTCACTTACAATAGTCAGGGTTGGGAAGCTGCCCTGTGCCCATCAGTGGATCAGTGGATAAAACAACTGTGGGGCATTTACACAATGGAGTTCTACTTGGCCATAAAAAAAGAAGAAAATGTTACCTTTTGCAACAGCATGGATAGACCTGGAGAGCATTATGCTAAGTGAAATAAACCAGTCAGAGAAAGACAAATACCGTGTGATCTCACTCATATGTGGCATCTACTGAACAAAATAATCTAACAAGCAAACTAGAGACAGACTCAGGGAACAGGCTGACACTTTGGAGCGGCGTTGCTTAGCAGGGTGAAGGGATGGAGTGAAAACCAAAAAGCACTGGTGGACAGAACGGTGAGTGTGGTGATGGCCGGGGGAGGTGGAAGAGGGTATAGGCGGGATAACTTGTGATGAAAAATTACAATAAAAATGATTTTAAAAAAAGAAACACAAACAGAAACTGATTCTGTCCTCAAGTTGTCCATTTATAATTCTAAATTAATTAGCACGAGCTCCGGCTGGCACCTCCAACCATGCTTTTAAATAGTCCTCAGAGAAAACAGTATTAAATTAAAAAGACAACCAACTGTATGGGAAAACATATTTGCCAACGATACCTCAGACAAAGATTTAATCTCCAAAATATACAAAGAACTTACACGACTCCACTCTAAGAAGACAACCAACCCAATTAAAAAATGGGAAAAGGACTTGAACAGACACTTCCCCAAGGAGGACATAGAGAAGATCCAGAGACACATGAAGAAATGGTCAATATTGCTCGCCATCAGAGAGATACAAATTAAAACCACAATGAGATACCACTTTACACCAGTCAGAATGGCTATCATAAACAAAGCAACCAACAACAAATGTTGGAGAAGTTGTGGGGAAAAGGGGACCTTAATTCACTGTTGGTGGGATTGCAGACTGGTACAACCATTATGGAAAACAGCATGGAATTTTCTCAGAAAAATAAAAATCGACCTGCCTTTTGATCCAGCAATTCCACTGCTAGGACTATATCCTAAGAATCCTAAAACATCAGTATCAAAGAACCTATGCACCACAATGTTCATAGCAGCACAATTTACAATAGCCAAGAGTTGGAAGCAACCTATGTGCCTGTCAGTAAATGAATGGATCAAAAAATTGTGGTACATATACACAATGGAATTCTATGCAGCAGAGAGAAAGAAGGAACTACTACCCTTTGCAACAACATGGATGGAACTGGAAAGCATTATGCTGAGTGAAATAAGCCAGGGGTTGAAAGACAAATACCATATGATCTCACCTTTAACAGGAAGCTAAACAACAACAGACAAGCAAGCAAAATAAAAACGAATACACTGAAATAGAGAACAGGGGGCACAGCGACCAGAGGAGAGGGAATTTAGGGGGGAAAATGGGAGGGATTTAGAGAAACAAGTATAAAGGACACAGGGACAATAACTAAGGGGGGTGGAAATGGGAGGGAGGTGGGGTGCATGGGGGAGGGGTGGGCTGGGATGGGAGAAATAAACAGAAAACTGTACTTGAAAAATAACTAAATAAAAAATTTAAAAAACCAGTCCTCAGAGCTGTGCCTCCGAGAGGGGAGACTGGGGTTACCTGCACTCTGGCTTCGGTGAGGTTCACGCGGCGGGCCAGGTCCTCTCGCACGAAAGCATCAGGGTAGTGGGTCCGCTCAAAGACACGTTCCAGAGCCTGCAGCTGGCTGCTGTTGAAGGTGGTCCGGTTCCTCCGCTGCTTCCTCTTCTTCTTCTCCTCCGAGTTCAGCTGGTCATCTGGAATAGAAGACACTGATGATAAGGAGCTAAAGTCATTTTGGGAGACCCCATTCATATGTCTTCACCGCATATCCACAATGCGGTGCTGTTTCCTTTGCTCACATCTTTATCAAAGTGCTAGCCATAGCCAAACACTACTTTTAGGGTGCAAGTGTGGGCAGAGGTGCTCAGAAGTCCATGTGCCAAGCACCCCAGCAGTTCTGGTGCTTGGTGGTTGTTTGAAATCTGGGGCCAGACCTGAGCCATCCAGGGGACATTTCCTGTGTGCTCCGTGAAGCTGTTTTGTCAAAGAGGCTGAAGGACAATTTTACTGCCACCCATGCTCTCTGGGCTTCTCTAGAGCCGGGGGAGGAAGAGTGGGTTGCTTTGGACCTTATTAGTCTCAGCCAAGATCATGTTCATTCATATTGCTTCATAACCAGGAGACCAGCTATCGCCTTGCTCCCTCTCCACATACCCACCTAAACACCCATGCAGACTCACGGAGGGAAAGCACCTCCGCACCGATGGGAGGGATTTCTGTAGTGCCGGGCATTCATTTGTTGAAGGCTCTGTGCTGATGCCTGGCCTCAGCCTGGATCAGGGCTGTACTTATAGCACCATCCACCATGGCCTGGGACTCACCCTGTCACCCTGTGAGAACTCAAGAACAGGGAACAAGACCTCTGACATTGTTTCACCCCAACACTGAGTTCTAGGACATGGGGACCTTAGGGTCATCCGGAGAATCATGACCCCAAGTTTTTACCTGTCCACTTCTCTCCCTGATTTTCTGTGAATTTCCCCAGAAAGTACAGCTGGCCAGCTGGTCATGCAGCCCATCCATGGCAGTCAGAGGGTCCTGCCATGCCCACTCAGCCCAGCAATGGTGGATGCGTGAACTGAGTGGAATACCAGCTCTGCTGACCCCCCGTCACTCTGTCACCTGAAGCCCACACCCCCGCCGAGCCTAAGCAGCGGGGATTTCCAGCACCAGTTGCTGAGGCCCAAGTCACATGCCCAGCCCGGTGACCTGGATGTACACTTCTAGCACCTCTCTCTCCCTGCAGACATTGGCCCAAAGAGAAATACGGGGGTGAGAGAGGATGGAGAGATGGCCGTTTGCTCCACATTCAACAGGTAGCTCTTGGCTACTTTTCCAACATGGGACATCTTCTGGTCCTCTCTGACCATGAGCACAACACATGAGCACTCCATGAGCACCAGTCACAAGGTCCTAACACAACTGGCACCACCTGGGCCCTAACATTTTCCTTATTGCAGGTCAAGGGCATGTTCTAGATCCGGGTGTGCACTCCAAGTGCAGCTGAATCCCCAGAGCTCCTCACCCAGGCCTTTCAATGCCCAACAATGGAGACTTCTAGGTCTTTTTGGTGACAACCATTCCCCCTGAGGGGCTGCCTCACCAGGACACCCTTGGAGCTTGGGTGAGAGATGGCTCATTCCTTAAAGCATCTAGATGTCTAAGTGTTGGTTGAATTTGTTTTCAGGGAAAATGGGTAACATTGCTCGTCTTTAAACACTATTTCTGTAGAAACAAAAAAACCAAAACCTGTATGATCTCAACTACATCCGAGAGCTCAGAAGCCCTTGGCAGTCACTCTCTCAGCTCCACGGCGGGTTGAGGCCCAACCCGCATGGCTCTGTTGTGCCTCCACCAGGAGCTCGGCTTTGAAGGCACCACTGTGACACTCAGTAACAGGGTCAGATGGTTGGTGTCTTGAGAATGGAGCCAGTTTGATTATCATGCTTTCCAGGATCTTCCGAGGCCTGGAATAATCAGGCCAAGGCATCCCTGATTATACCACTGTTTAGTTATTAGTGAAATTCGTTTACCACACCACCAATGCTAGAAGGCAAGCACCGAGGATCCATCAGCTCTGAGTAGCTGTTTGCATGTTTGAAGTCATCCCTGGTATTTCCATTCTCTTTCCCGAATTTCTTGTCTACAGCTCTGTATGTCTTGTTCTTTAGGCCCCTCTGGGTCATCCTGGCCTTAACAACAGCACCATTTCATGCTTTCATTAGACAGAAATCTGTACAACGTCCTTAGCTTTCATACCTAGCCCAGCCTGAGAATAAGTAGACAATAGGCTATTATTTTTAATCATCTAAAGGAAATCCTTATTAAGTTGATGTCATGATTTGCTTTCTCCTGAATAACCACAAAGTCTTGACCCTCTGTGCTGTTGTGTAAGCCTGATTCTTCATGGGCTGCCTAACTGTGACCGTGATTGGGACCAAGAGTATTTTATGTTCTGTTCTTAGCTCTACAACCGCTACAGAATCTCTTGGCAGTTCTTTGACACCTCCCACCACTCACTTGAATCCCACTGCCTGTCCGCCGCCACTCACAGGCTCCCCTGATGTGGGAGTCAGGGGAGTGGGGAATTGCAGTGTCTGACAGAGAATAAATAGCTGTGACCTGAGACCATCGCGGCAAGAGTTTCCCAGTGAATGTTCTTGTTGTTTTTAACAAATGAAAACACCAGCCCAGATCATGTTGAAGGCGAGAAGAGACGCACAAGGGACAGGGGTCCGGGGAGGCTGGGTCTGGCCAGTGTCCTTCAGAGAGTGAGTATAACAGAAAGAGGCAGGAAGGAACAGTGACAGCTTGAGTGGCAGCCCTCAGCGTGTCTGTCTTTGCTCACAATCACCGAGTGTGAGTCCCCAGTTTCCCCCACGAACACACAAGCACAGGCCCGGCACAGTCTCTGCAGCTGGAGGGGGGATGCGCACACTACAGCGGCTCACTGATGGGGCACTGGAAGGACCTATTGTGAGCGCATCCGATTCAAGACCGAATGAGAGGGAGACAGAGCAGTGTATCGTTGGTGTTGCCGAAGGTGATCTTTTTCTGTGAAAATGGCTACAGTGAAGGCTGCTTTTGAGACACGCTCTTCAAGGATACTGACGTCCAACAGGAGGACATCAGGAAGCGTCTCGTTGTTTGGGATCCTGAGGTGGGTGGGATTCACTGAGCCGCAGGACAAGCTCGGGGACACGGATGCAGTTTTACCAAGATCACAATGCTCCAAAGCCAAGGTGCTTACAGGCTTCATGGATGACAGTGAATTGCAAGTATGAAGTTACCAACAAGCATTCTAATAAAAACAAGCACGATGACCTTAACTAACCAGGTGGGATCACGAGTTAGAAAAGGTTAGCACCAAATGAAATGAGAAAAATTGTCAAATTCAACTTTGTTATTTGATGGATGCAGTGAATGAGACCTAGAAGAATAAAGTGATTGGCCCAAATAACAATACAAGGCATGGCCAAGGAAGGACTCCTAATGCTGTTTCACTGTCAAGAGCAGATGACAGGGTACGTGCTGTGCGTGATTGGAGCAGTGGGGCATTGGAGATACAAGCAGAAGGCACTGCCCTGGGGAGATTCCACGGGAAAAGACAGGTTTTCCCATTGAAGTCACATGCAGTGTCTAAGGGAGTCCATGTGTATAGCATGTTGTCGTTCCTACGAGAAGAGCCATTTAAAAAATGCAACCACTTTCATCTGGAACAGCTGCTTTGACCCGGACGTCCTTGAATTTCCCTTTCCAGTGGCCTCCGCTGAGTGTGCTTGGGGGCTTCCCAGCACAGCTGCAGAACCCACCTCCCCCCCACACCCCTTTGGGCACTTTCTTTCATTTCAGCACCCAGTTCAAAGTCCGTTTCCCATGATACTTCTCAGATCTTACCTCCTCTCTGAAACCTTGCTGATAACTCTGCTCTCTAAATTTCTGTATATACTTTAACAGAGAATCAAACACATGGTTAAAATTTTGGTTCAGTTCTTTCTGTGTAAATGTCTTGTCACCTCAATGCAGTCAGGTGCTCTTATAGAACCTTGGTGATTCATCTGAATAATTTCTAAGTTCCAGTCATTCTTTTTAATGATGTATAGCAAATAATTAGGCTAACACTATCTTTTGTATGTGGATAATTTTACCTGGGCGGGGAGAGGGGGAACACCTTTTACCGTGTTTCTTTTTTCAAATACATTAGTCATCAGACCTAGAGATAGGTGAAGCTGTGGTGGTTCTGATCCCTTTGCAAATGCAGGAGTTGGTCCTTTATTTTCATTCCTTCCCAGAAAAGCAGTTCTTGATCAAGGATGGGTTGAAGCAAATAGGAACAGCCATGAGAAAGAGACGCTTTTCAGTGAACCAGGGTGTGAGCACGCACATGAGGCACTTCCCCAGGGAAGAAGCCCTGTGTCCCAGGAAAGGTGCCGTGGTGCCTTCGATTACAGGTGGAAGAGGTCACCAGCTCTGACCTTGGCTCCCTGTGGACTCTACCTGGGGCTGCCAGCGTTGGTGGAGAAGACAACTCCATCCTGCGGATGGAGGACTGGGCAGCAAGCCCTGGTCCCTGCTCAGAAACCTAACAGTACTCACCCTCGGGCAGCCTTTAATGCTCGGGACACTGGCCCTCCTCTGCTCTCTGCCCTGTGGCGGGGGGGCCCTGGCCAGTCCACATGGAGGCGCCAAGTGTAATTTCAAGGTACAGCAAAAACATATTTTAGGAATGAAATCTGAAGAGAAATGTATTTTGCATGCCCAAGTCACGTCAATTTAGGCAGAATTCTGATGCAAGAAGGTAAAACGCCAGCTTCAGTAGCAGAAACCAGCTGCCACATCAAAGCTGGTTGCCTGCATTTTGGTTGGAAACATGGAAGGCGAGCAGATCTGAAGGGCAGCCCGCTGATCATTTTATGGGCTTGGAAGAATGTTTTCAAAGGCTCTGCATTGCACAACAACTACTTACTTTAATGGGATTTGTGTGGTTCAGGCCCTGTAACCTTAAGAAAATTGAAGGGAGGTATAATTGCAAAAGCCACTAAAAACTGTTTTAGCTTTTATTGCAAGGCCTATGAAAAGCAGCGAAATGGAGCTGTGGCAGCCACTGGCGTTTCTTCTGTTACGCTGAGTTCCAGTTCCAGTGAGACAGCGTCCTTTTAATAGGGGCGTCGGTGAGCGGCACAGGGTCGCCCAA